TTAGATTCAGTGTTTTATAAAAAATTGTTTGTTTACATTTTTTTCCCTTTGTAGTGTCTAAATCAGCTGTGACAATGTAATCGATTTTCAATGCTGCCAAGTAGATGGCGCAAAATCAGAGTCGCACAGAACGATTTAACGTGGATTAGTTTCAAATCATTTCAATGAAGTATGTATTTGTATGGCGAAATCTTGATAAATTTATAAGAGTAGTGGGATAAGCCACTCAACAGCCGAAATCGTGTGATTAAGTGTCGGTCTGAACATGGTATAAGAGCTATTTTTTGCATATATAAATTTTGTTGAATAATATTTCTTCTAAAAAGATAGGCTAAAATCCTCTTGGATCCAAATGGTTTAACCGTTTATCTAGCGAATTGTGAATTATACATAGTTTAAAATTTCATGTTACATTTAAAACTAAAAACACGTCTTATTCATATTATTCTATGTCTAAAAGGAGTAAATAAGTATATATATGATAACTATAACAAATTATGTTACTTTTTAATTATTTACTGTTAAAATATGCTGCTGTCTCTTATACACATCTAGATGTGTATAAGAGACAGCCAATCAAGAAGAAGAAGAATAATAATAATTCTACATAAGTATACGAATCAAAATCTTCTTATACTCGTAGTATCCAGCGCAAATATGTATATCTATTAAAAATATGTCGCAACTATAATCTAGTAGTAATGCGTAGATAGTGTTAACGTTACAAAATAAATATGATAATTTATTATGGGTATAATTGTGAGAAGGGTATACAAATTTGGGAATGTATATACATATATATATGTGGGGGCATGTAAGAAATATGTGTTAATTATTTTATTTTTTGAACATAATTGTATGTTAGTAAAATTGAAAATATACCTGTTGTGGGTTTGGATAATTCCTCCGATTATGGTTTTATGTTCAGTGTATGCGTGCACCTTTGTGGATTTTTGGTTTGTTTTTTTTATGTGTTCACTTTCTGATTTTACGACTCTATTCCTTTTCGGAATGTACGGGAGCGATGCAGTAGAGTATTTGCTTGGCTTAAACACAACCTAATATCATGTTCAGACCAAAAATTTAAAAGATTAGATTACATTTAAGCATTTCATAACGAAAGAGTGTTCTCACTGCCATTAGAAAGATCAAAAAAACGGCTGCTATTGTCAGTTAAGAATTCACATCGCGGCACGATTCCGATTACTTTGGTGGAGGGGTAAAAAAACAGAATTTCCATAGAAATGGGGCATGTACGGATAGGGGAGCTTCTCCAGAGTAGGAATATCCAAAAATTAGATAAAAATTACTAATATTTTTTAAAA